TATATATATATATATATAAAGATATTTAAATATTAATTAAAAATCATATAAAAAATTAACGTGTCTCTACCGTGTCGTGTCCTACATTTGTGGAAATTGATGTGTTGCCGTGTCCGTGTCATATAGAACGATGTACAAGGTTTATGTATATTAGTTTTTTTTTTTGTCAATTATGATCATATCACATCAGACGGTGTATAAGATTTTGGTATATTTTTTACACGAAATTCAAAATTATGCCTCATCTCCATCACCGAAAACTTGAAGCGCAATTCTTTCTTTGAATAGAAAATCTTCCCAACCTTAATTCATCACCACTAGAAGACTCATCAACCGTAATAATTTATTTGTACATAAAGTCACTCCCTGAACATGTGCATAAGGTGCATTTCTACTTACAGAATGTGCTTCCTAGACCTGTGTTGAGGATGGAACACCTTCATCAACAGGTTCAGCTAACTCATCTACATCTTGACCTCCTGCATCCTCATCCTTCTGTTGTTCTACCGCAATACTCTCTTATGTCTCATCCTCCATAATAGTGTTGTTCATCATCGTCTAAGTTGCATAGGATAGCGTTGTCAGTCAACGATATTTTTTATATGACAAAGATGGATGAAGAAACAACCTTGAATGGCCGAGGAGGAATGGGAATTTATGGGACAAAATATGGTAGGTTTTGCCTTGGGTAGTAGGGAAATGAAGAGTATATTTGAGTTTGTGTATAGAAGAGTACATTCCCTCAGTTGCCCCCACTACTATTCTTCCTTGGGTACGACATATACTACAATGCACTATAATCCATGTGTATTGATAAGATGAAAAATATACTCCTATTTTATATTTATTTTACATTTTATTAATTTATTATGTTTAAATATTTGAATTTAATTATAATGTAACATTTTGTGGCAACTGGAAGACATTCATAAATAATAATTTAAAAACGCAATTTTAGAAAATAATGCGGACTTCAACAAATTGGGGAGAGCTAAACAGATAAAATACAGATAAAGTTATTATGATGAGATGCTTCAAATTGAAAGTTATGGATTTTTATGATACTTTGTAAATAAAGAGATATAATCAAATTAAGAAACATAATCCTAAATTGATTAGGAACTCTTCTATTTAATAGGATTTTTCCAATTAGTTGAGAATTCCTTATTAGAGATAATTTCTCATCAAAAGAGCATAAAATTAATCTCTATAAATAAAGAAGCTTTATTGAAATATTCATTATTCCAGTTCCAACGAAAAGCTCTCTTCTCCTAAATTCAAGTTTTCTCTTTCTACCATGAGTGGCTAGGCTTTAATTTTTCCAATTCAAAGGTGATTTAAGTCAAATTGTAAGCTCGGGAGACTCGAGTTCGATAGGGATTTATTATTTTTCAAGTATTCTTTGTTTCTTGTTCTTATTATTTATGAACATTTTATATTAATTAAATTAACGCCTTAATTTATATTAATTGTTCTACTGCTACCCATGAGTTTGTGATTTGTAATTGTCATGAATTATTGAAATAAGTAGCATGGAGTTGGCTTATGTGTGTGTATTTATGATTTTTCCATGTTATATAGCCGGCATAATAGACTCTAAGGAAATATAGAGACAAAATTAATTAACTTGCAACTATCTCAACTTAATTAATTTTGGTTTAGTCATTCTCATTTATCATTAATGCTATTCTTTAATTGATATGGAATGCTATCATGCCCAGTTGATTAATTAATAAGATTTAATTTTGATGCTTGGTCTCAATTAATTAAATTCGGAGAATTAAAACTTAGCACGACATGTAAGTAGACTAAGTTTTTTAATTAAGAAATCAATTTTGTGTAAAACCTATGATTAAGATTAGAATTACACGAAAATTACACTTTTGGAAGTTTGGTAAGATTTTCAATTTAGTTTTAGTTCTTTTAAATTTCAAAATTCAAATTCAAATTCAAATTCAAAACTCCCTATTTTATTACAACTTTGAGATATTAATTTCATTAATTCCCTTGGGATTCGACCTGGTCTCACTACTTCTACACGTTAGATTTAGTAAAATCAGTAATTATTTTCAAGGGTCTCGATAACCCTTACCATGCATTCTTCTTCTACTTCCCTTGTTTTCTTTCGTTCTTTTACTGCGTATTCTACTGGATTCGTTATTTGAAGGTTGGCCTTGTTCCGGTAACAAAATTTAGGGTAAATTGTATAAACCACCCCTAAAGTATGGTAGTTGTTGCAATTACACCCCTAAACTTTCAATTGTAAAAATTAAACTCTCAAACTTTGATAAGTGAAAAAATTGAACCCTTCAATATTGAGTTGTAGAAAATAAACCTTCAAATTTTCATGAGTGGTGAAATTGCACCCCTGAATATTTTTAATAGTAAAATAAAGCCCTTAAACTTAAAAAAATTACATCTATTTTAGTTAGTTTCTCTCCGAAAACCCTTTAAATAAGTATTAGAGGGAAAATCAAAACTCTGTCACGCAAAATATTGAAATCCAAATTTTGTTTAACACCAAATTCTCTTAACCATAAAATTGAGAAACATATTTTGTTCACCCCCAACATTTGTCTCACCCACTCTCTTTGTAATTTTTTACTTGTGTAATTGAAAACGTTGAGGGCTTATGATTTTGTTTTCTTGGAATTTTGTTTCACTTCGAAGAAAACAAAATTCTTAATACTTCGTCATTGAATCGATCTCTGTTGTGGTTATCTCCCAGCTTACAATTCAGTTTTCCACCTACAAATCAACTTTCCACAATTTCCATTTCTACCAGATTAAATGACAAAAATCAATGATGGGAGACTGAAAGAGAAAGTAGAGATTTGAAGGAAATAAGACTAAATCAGATGTATTTTTTTTTTAAGTTTAAGGGTGCAATTTTATCATTCATAAAAGTTTGAGGCTTTATTTTTTACTGCTAAATGTTCAGGGTTCAATTTTTTCACTTATCAAAATTTGAGGGTTTAATTTTTACAATTAAAAGTTTAGGGGTATAATTGCAACAACTACCATAATTTAAGAGTGGTTTGTGCAATTTACCCCAAAATTTAATACTAAGATAGTTTTTTCCTCTGTTTAAAATTTCTAAGTTTTTAGTTAAAATCTAAAATCTAATTTAAAATTTAAAACTTCTAATTAAGAACAATAACTAGGGTGGGTGGGTTTTAGTTCGTAGTTGCACTGTACCTAGTTTCACGTCGTCCATTGCATCGTTTCGTTCGTAGTCGCATCCAATCGTTGTCCACCACGCCGTAATCACCATTCGCCATCCATTCGAGCAGTGACCGTTCCGCATCTCTATCCCTGCCCAGCATTCCCTTCCTCTTTATTCTGCATCTTCAAGCAGTAGTCACCGCTGCCCACGTGTTTGTACTATTTAACTTCTGTATAAAATAGTTTCCAACTATTAGGTGTTGTTTGGGGAAGAGAATACCCTGGACACATGGAGGACCCCTATTGGTGCTCCAAGATGACTCATGAGTCATGTCCAGCTCGGACGGCCGAGATCACCACTACTAGCGTTGATAGATGCTAAGTATGAGGGCCGAGGTGAACCTGGCCGAGGTCCGACCTACCGGGAAGCTCGGTGGGGACCGATGCGAATTACTGTCAGCGGCGTGATTATCGGGCATAATCGTCGGTCCCGAGATTACCGGGCGTAATCGACGATCCCGAGATTACCGAGTGTAACCGTTGCGAGATTAGCGGGACTACCACCCATAAGTAGAGGACTTCACTCCAGGTACGATGATTTCTGGCCTCGAACTAAACTGGGAATCCGACCTATACTGACTTGATCGTCGGAGTGCTCACCTTTTTGTGCAGGTCCGCCCAAGTGTTCAGATCGGTCCGCAGGCCGAGTTCGAGCTGCAATCTGAAATACGTTGTTGTGCATATCCTTGCATAAACAGGTGTATTTACGTAAATCTAACTAGAATTATATTTTAAAGGTTACAACAGAAAGGATCAGACGATTAAAGATCGTTGGTATAACATTCTCTAAAGAATTTTCAAAAGAAAATGAGGAAGAGGGAGAAGGGGTGCTCAAACCGTAAGAGTAACTTATGCTTCTTCGAAAATTAAATAAACTACTGTATTTATTTGTTGTTTTTAGAACCTGCATTAATATTTTACCTACTTTGATTTATTCATATTTACCTCTTGTTTCTTTTAATGGAATTATTCAAGCTTAAGTAAATATATTATTAAACCATTCTCCGTGGATTTACTTATATTATTAGCTTGGTTTAAATTTTTGGAACTATTTATATTTACATATGTGGCTTGTAATTATGACAAAACTTCTGACATGTTCACTTCTATTGTGAAAGTATATTTTTGGAATTTATCTTTTATATAAAGATCTAACTACCCTTATCTTTCATTTTAGTTGGATTTACTTATGATCATCTACTCCCAACCAACCTTTGATGTATATTATTGTTGGTTTTATGCCTACCTAAGTGCAAATATCGTCGAAATAATTATGCATACATACACATTGGTGAGAATGTGTGCAAATAATCAATGGTAAATATGCAAAAAGCCAATGTAAATATAAAACTAACTACATATTATTTGATAGACATGAAAATTGGTAAAATAAAATGATTAAAATCGGTCCAGAAGAATCTAAAATTAATTTAACACAAAATTTGATTTCAAAATTAATTTGAGAGTAAAATCAAATCATTTCAAAAAAGAATCCAAATTTCATTTATTTCTAAAATCAATCATAAATAAAATTCACCCAGTTCAAAATTATTAATATTAATAATATTTATTACATTTTGTCCATTTTTTTCAATACTATTGAAATGTTGACACACCCTCATCAATTTTGAACCGAAGAAGACATGAAAATCTCGACGTGCCGAAGGAGAACAGCCATGTAGAGATAAACCCAAAGTACAACTTTGTTCCAGATGGAATTTGTAGATTTGTTGATCTACTAATCCATGAAGGGAAACATAATTAATACATTCACATAGTTTGAAAATCACAAAACCTTTTAAAAAGTTTTGGAAGATCCCTTCTTTGATGAAGGATGAGGATTTCATTCGTTAAAAAATTCTTCCAGCAGCAAAAACAAGAATCTCAACATCTCGACCATGAAATGGCTCAACAAACAAGATAAAAATAGAACAGAATGTTCAATCTAACAGATTTCTTATACATTGTCAATTAATCGTGCAAAAAAATCAAAGGAACATACAAGTTCTCTTCCTACACCGTTTGATCCTTCCCGCAGCACCTTCAAAACAACAACAAAAATTGCAGTTAATCAAACTAATCCATTTTTTATGGTCAAATCCACACTAAACAACAGTATCTAAACATTTTCATAATCAGATTTGCATATGGAAAGACAAGGCAAATCTCTATGAAGAATCGAAGCATTCATCATACAATGAGTTGGAAGGATGAAAATGAAGATTGATTATGGCTACATTTCGAGCAAATGTTTATCGAGCTATGGAGAAGAGAACAAGATAGCATCATTTCCATTTTCTTCATGAACGAATCATTTCAGTAAATAAAATTCAGTTAAACCAATGAGATATTGCAGGCGCTCACTTTGGGCTTGTGCACTAGATGACAGAGGAAAAACAATAATGGAAAAATAAGGTGTTCATCAAACTATGAATGTATTTATTTGTATCATCAATGCTAAAAACGAGGGAAATCTAAAGCTGAACATGACAGGAAAAGCTTTGCAGTATCAAGCTACTTGGTAGCTTTTACCTATGCCAACTACCAACAGTACTATTGGGCTAACAGCTGTAAAATTAGCTACTAATCTTATTTTGAATCAATCCAGATTCCAAAAATGAAGAACTAGATTTGAATCAATCCTGAGATCAGTTTCTGGATATAACTGCATCATCAAACAGCCAAAATTCTATCCCAACTCATTCAGCTAAAGCTCTTTAACAACTCACCCAGCATAAGAAAACAAACAATTCACAAAAGTTGATCAACTTCTTTGGGGCTTCTTGTTTTTAGCTAAATGAATTGAGGATTAATAGCAAGTTCAACAAAGAAACACTTAAATTACTGCTAACTCAGAGTATGTTTGGATTAACTTCTTAAGTGATATTAGAGGGCTAAAAGTGTTTTTTTTTTCTCAATCTAGAGTGTTTGGTAACAAATAAAATTTACTTTTGAAATAATCAAATTGATTCACAATCACTTCACTTTAAATTTGATTATCCAAAAAGTGATTGACCAAATTTGACCCAGCAAGATCCAATGGATTTGAATCACTTTAGAATCACATTATGGTAATTTGACTTTCTAGTGCAACCAAACAAACTAGTAATTAAAATAAAGCTTAAACTAGTAATTAAAATAATGCTTAAGAAAATATAACCAAACACAATAATATTTCAATTAAAGCTATTATTGTAAAAAGTATTTTAAAAAAATATATTAGTTTAAAAAGTATTTAAAATAGAAGGTATGCCAAACTCACTCAATAAAATAATCAACGGAAAACTGATAAATCGTTCTACTAAGTACCGTTTATATCTCTTCTTGGAACCACAAGGACATAAAGCATTCCTGCTGATCTGGCCACTCTTGGCCAAATTTGACCTAGCAAGATCCAATGGATTTGAACCCACTAGTTTCTGGACCTAATCAACATAGGTTGTAAAAAAGATGATTAGCTGAGCAAATTCACAATTCTTTTAAATAGAAACAAATACGGTCATAAAAATCTAACAATATGGATGGGCCAGGAGAATAAAAATTCCAAGCCCTTCCTCAATCCTCACATGGGTAGAAAAACAGAAGGAAGTGAGTCTTATATAGCAATAAAAAAGACAGAATTTTGCCATGGATTCAAACAAATTACTATAGCCTCATTTGATAACCATTTTATTTTTGGTTTTCTATTTTTGAAAATTAAACTCACAAC